AAAGTCATCTGATACTAGCATGCTATTTGGGTAGTGAGGACAGCAGCTCCACCTCCTAACCGCTAACGAGCACTGGATGTGCTGAAACTCATGCTAAGTTTCCACTTACTAGACTCCCACGAAATATCTTCGATCTTCACAGGTGAAGGAACCAAGTCCACATGTTTGTCATAGGTCCTTTCAAATACCATGAGGGGAACACCACACAGGTTGATATTGCTTATTTTGTGCTCTTCAGACAGATCAAAACTCTCAAAGTCTGTTTGAAAAAAGACACTGTAGTTTAGTAAGTGTTCAGTAGCAGCAGCCTAGGAAGCTGCAAATTCTCCTAGATTCAATGAAGTGGGAGCAGGTCCAAAAGAATACAGCTCAGACCCCTTTTATGGGGTATTTATTTGCAGTTACACCTTAGTTGTCCAGAAGTGTTAGTATATGGGATTTTTATCCCAAGACTAGACTGCGTAACAGAACTGCTAATGTAAGGCAGGAGCTTTTAGCAGTTTCTTTCCAATCACTATACCAAGTCAAGTTCATCAAGCATGACATATGCATTTCACCAACACTGAAGCAAGTCTTTGGTACAGCAATTTTGGCACACACTTCCACATGAAGTGGATGGCTTCAGGACACACTTTGAAGGACTAAGTTATCAGATATTCTAAAAACAGCTTTAGAAGTTTCATCTTCAACTACTGTGTCCTACAGCAGTAGGATCTCTTCAGTTACAAATTACCACCTTGGCATACACTACGAAGAGAGGTCCACTCTTCAGTACTGCTTAAGTATTCCATGTAATACTTGTCTACTAATTGCCATTTAGTACAGAAGAGACTATATAACATGGTAGTTTGGATCTAGTCTCCTGCCACCATAATAACAGACTCAGACTACTACTTACCTGGAGCACAGCTACTGCAGTTAGCGATACTTTAAGACTAAGGCAGTATTTCAGAGTAGCAAGCACCCTTATGTTTAAGAAAAGGCTCCACAGAAATGCAGTGCTCCTTTGTTTGCCACAATAGCTTGGCCCGAGTCTTACAACAACGTCAAGACTCGTGAAAGGCCGATTGTTCATTTTAATAATTACACCAATAGTTCTTACCTCGAGGATCACAAGGAAACATGTTTTCTATTTCTGGCCAGTCTTTTTCAGCCAGTGCATTGCAGCTTTGTACTCCAGCAGTCTTTTCAGGAACCTTAAAAAGAGAAAGTCACTTGTTTGAGCTATTGTAGCTTCCCATTGTAGTGGCTTCCCTGTGCCATACAAGTCTACAGACAAGACTGTCTGCCATACGGTCCTCAGTTACCCCCGAATTCAAATACCTTCAACACAAATGAGCTGGAGATGGGCAAATGCTTTAGTTGAGTTTATAGAGAGCAGTACTATATATGATGACAACATCACTGCATTAGAACATTAAAGTCCTAGTACTTAACATATAAACAAGACATTAACTCAGACTATTTTCTCTAGAGCCACTTCTTTGCCATTAGGTAGCCCGTAAGCTGTTGTACTCCTTGTGCCTATGCAGTTGTACAGGTTTTGGCTAGGATAGAGTTATTTTTTTTCCTAGTAGTTCATATGATGCCATGTTTTGGCTTCATGATGAAAACAGTGCTGATAACACACAACTGCTTTAGCTGCTGCTGAACACAGCTTACAAAGCACCAAGGCCTTTTCTGTTTCTCACAACCCCATCTTCTTTCCCCTATCCCACTGATCAGACAGTGAGCAAGCTGTAAACTATGCATTCTTTCCCTCCCTATAGCAGTGCGCTGTACTCACTGTGTCTGCAGTGCAAGGCTGATTTTTCTGTCTTATCTTTTCTGTCTTGCTCCTGACCCCTCCAGTTCTATTCAGATCTCCAAGAGCCTTTCTGACAGAGTAAGATGTAGCTGGAGATGCACTGATCATTTTTTTAGGAAGAGGAGTGTTAACTGTTGCTCTTTCAGATAAGACTTTTGCTGGAGAGTGGGGGGAAGAAAAAAAAGCAACAAACTTTAGCACCATATGAACCCTAAAAGCTTGTCATAAAAATTGCTCACCATTTATAACTCAGAAGCATAAGCCACATCTATGACAAAAGCACAGTTATTTTCATTTTTGTAGTAATTGATGAGCTTAGCAGAATTGATTAGATAAGCAGACATAAGAATAAAAAAAACTATTATTGTTCAAAACAGTCAATAACAAACATTTACGCAGTACACTTGATCCCCTAATTGGCTTAGGGCAGCATAAACTCACAAGATCCTGAAGGGAGTCTTGCATGACTCTTAGTAGCACCAGCTTCACCATTCTCCTGATCAATAAAGACAAGTGTTGCCATCTTCAGCTTGATGAGACCACTCTGGAAAGCTCACATAGAAAAGAGAGGAAATAATTCTTGTCATTTCTTCCACCACAGCACACTTTTTAAACAAACCACATTAAAAACAACAGAGCTGATCCCTAGCGAAGGAACAAGCCCATACTCCACATGGTGTCACAGTAGTTCAGCTACAGACCCTGATGTTTGAGGGCATTGTTAGTGCACATGATAGGCTTGTGGGCCCAAATGAGCCTGGACAAGTTTGGGAAAGTAGCAAGGTCTCACTAGCAAGCTTACACAGTAACACCTAATACTTTTGGTTTGCTTTGTCACATCTTTGCAGTGTTTTATCTGTTACCTCAGTACACCTCCTAGCTCAGCAATCCAACCCTTTACTCAACTTATAGCACTTGAACAGCCCAGAGTAATGCCAGTTATTTTACTGACAGAGACATCTTTTAACCAGAAAAAGAAAATACTAGAAGACACCCTACACAAATAGACTCCCTCACTACTGTTTTTCAGTCCCATCTGCAACAACAGATCAGAGCATTCCCTTGCACTGTTAACAGCAGCCAGGCAGCTCTCATCTAGAGCTGATCAGGGCCATGACACAGGTAGGTAAACAACTCCTCAATCGAGAGGAACACCCAGAGAAAGCTACTTTTAATTGATATAGCTTGAAATTAAAAGCTGAAGCACAAAGTCAAAGCAAGACTTACAGCCACAGATCTCAGCACTCCCCTTGTTTAAGCCACCACCTGGTCGCAGGTCTAGGGCCCCTTCCTCCCGCACTCGGGGGTGATCCCGGCGTTAGCCACGTAACCCCGACCGCCTTCCCAGCCTTCCCCGGGCTCACCTCAAGAACCACCAGCTGCAGCGATAAGGAAGAGGGTCACACAAAGAACAACCAAAGCCAGTAGACAGTACCACTGCCTCTACCCGCCCGCAGCTTT